AGGGAAAAAAGTGATCTGATTATGACATCATAATCTAAAAAAGAAATAAACAAAAGCTTACAGCACATGAGGTTCCTAGTTGGTCTCCCATACAAGTACTAAGCAAGCCCAAGTCTGCATAAGTTCTGAGATCTGACGAGTTCAGGCACTTTCAGACTGGTATGGCCGTAGGCGAAATTAGCAGAAAGTGATCTCGCGGATGTTTATATAATATCAAACACTGGTTGCGACTAAAGACAAGACGCTTCTGACTAGGGAAAAAAGTGATCTGATTATGACATCATAATCTAAAAAAGAAATAAACAAAAGCTTACGGCACCTGAGATTCCTGGTTGGTCTGCTGCACTTTCAGACTGGTACGGCCGTAGGCGAAGTTAGCAGAAAGTGATCTCGCTGATGTTGGTATAATATCAAACACTGGTTGCGACAAAAGACAAGACGCTTCTGACTAGGGAAAAAAGTGATCTGATTATGACATCACAATCTAAAAAAGAAATAAACAAAAGCTTACGGCACCTGAGGTTCCTAGTTGGTCTCCCATACAAGTACTAAGCAGGCCCAAGTCTGCATGACTTCTGAGATATGACGAGATCAGGCACTTTCAGACTGGTATGGCTGTAGGCGAAATTTGCAAAAAGTGATATCGCTGATGTTGGTATAATATCAAACACTGGTTGCGACAAAAGACAAGACGCTTCTGACTAGGGAAAAAGTGATCTGATTATGACATCATAATCTAAAAAAGAAATAAACAAAAGCTTACGGCACCTGAGGTTCCTAGTTGGTCTCCCATACAAGTACTAATCAGTCCCAAGTCTGCATAACTTCTGAGATCTGATGAGATCAGGCACTTTCAGACTGGTATGACCGTAGGCAAAATTAGCAGAAAGTGATCTCGCTGATGTTGGTATAATATCAAACACTGGTTGCGACAAAAGACAAGACGCTTCTGACTAGGGAAAAAAGTGTTCTGATTATGACATCATAATCTAAAAAAGAAATAAACAAAAGCTTACAGCACCTAAAGTCCCTAGTTGGTCTCCCATACAAGTACTAATCAGGCCCAAGTCTGCATAACTTCTGAGATCTGACGAGATCAGGCACTTTCAGACTGGTATGGCCAGAAAGGAAAATTAGCAAAGTGATTCTGAAGGTATATGACAACACTGGTTACGCCAAAAGACAAGACGCCTTGACTAGGAAAAAGGATCTGATTATGACACCATAATCTAAAAAAAGAAATAAACAAAAGCTACGCACCTGCGTCCTAGTTGGTCTCCCATTAAAGTACTAATCGCTTCCAAGTCTGCATAATTCTGAGATCTGACGCAGATCAGCAATTTTCAGACTGGTGGTCAGAGAAATTAGCAGAAAGTGATCTCGCTTATGTTGGTATAATATCAAACACTGGATGCGACAAAAGACAAGACGCTTCTGACTAGGGAAAAAAGTGATCTGATTATGACATCATAATCTAAAAAAGAAATAAACAAAAGCTTACGGCACCTGAGGTTCCTAGTTGGTCTCCCATACAAGTACTAAGCAGGCCCAATTCTGCATGACTTCTGAGATCTGACGAGATCAGGCACTTTCAGACTGGTATGGCCGTAGGCAAAATTAGCAAAAAGTGATCTCGCTGATGTTTGTATAATATCAAACACTGGTTGCGACAAAAGACAAGACGCTTCTGACTAGGAGAAAAAAGAGATCTGATTATGACTTCATAATCTAAAAAAGAAATAAACAAAAGCTTACGGCACCTGAGGTTCCTAGTTGGTCTCCCATACAAGTACTAATCAGGCCCAAGTCTGCATAACTTCTGAGATCTGACGAGATCAGGCACTTTCAGACTGGTATGGCCGTATTCGAAATTAGCAGAAAGTGATCTCGCTGATGTTTGTATAATATCAAACACTGGTTGCGACAAAAGACAAGACGCTTCTGACTAGGGAAAAAAGTGATCTGATTATGACATCCTAATCTAAAAAAGAAATAAACAAAAGCTTACGGTACCTGAGGTTCCTAGTTGGTCTCCCATACAAGTACTAAGCAGGCCCAAGTCTGCATGACTTCTGAGATCTGACGAGATCAGGCACTTTCAGACTGGTATGGCCGTAGGCGAAATTACAAAAAGTGATATCGCTGATGTTGGTATAATATCAAACACTGGTTGCGACAAAAGACAAGACGCTTCTGACTAGGGAAAAAGTGATCTGATTATGACATCATAATCTAAAAAAGAAATAAACAAAAGCTTACGGCACCTGAGGTTCCTAGTTGGTCTCCCATACAAGTACTAATCAAGCCCAAGTCTGCATAACTTCTGAGATCTGACGAGATCAGGCACTTTCAGACTAGTATGGCTGTAGGCGAAATTAGCATAAAGTGATCTCGCTGATGTTGGTATAATATCAAACACTGGTTGCGACAAAAGACAAGACGCTTCTGACTAGGGAAAAAAGTCATCTGATTATGACATCATAATCTAAAAAAGAAATAAACAAAAGCTTACGGCACCTGAGGTTCCTAGTTGGTCTCCCATACAAGTACTAAGCAGGCCTAAGTCTGCATGACTTCTGAGATCTGAGGAGATCAGGCACTTTCAAACTGGTATGGCCGTAAGCAAAATTTGCAAAAAGTGATATCGCTGATGTTGGTATAATATCAAACACTGGTTGCAACAAAAGACAAGACGCTTCTGACTAGGGAAAAAGTGATCTGATTATGACATCATAATCTAAAAAAGAAATAAACAAAAGCTTACGGCACCTGAGGTTCCTAGTTGGTCTCCCATACAAATACTAAGCAGGCCCAAGTCTGCATGACTTCTGAGATCAGGCACTTTCAGACTGGTATGGCCATAGGCGAAATTAGCAGAAATTGATCTCGCTGATGTTGGTATAATATCAACCACTGGTTGCGACAAAAGACAAGACGCTTCTGACTAGGAAAAAATGTGATCTGATTATGACATCATAATCTAAAAAAGAAATAAGCAAAACTTATGGGACCTGAGGTTCATACTTGGTCTCCCATACAAGTACTAATCAGGCCCAAGTCTGCATTACTTCAGCGATCTGACACTTTCAGACTGGTATGGCCATAGGCGAAATTAGTAGAAAGTGATCTCGCTGATGTTGGTATAATATCAACCACTGGTTGCGACAAAAGACAAGACGCTTCTGACTAGGGAAAAAAGTGTTCTGATTATGACATCATAATCTAAAAAAGAAATAAACAAAAGCTTACGGCACCTGAGGTTCCTAGTTGGTCTCCCATACAAGTACTAAACAGGCCCAAGTCTGCATGACTTCTGAGCTCTGACGAGATCAGGCACTTTTAGACAGGTATGGCCGTAGACGAAATTAGCAGAAAGTGATCTCGCTTATGTTGGTATAATATCAAACACTGGATGCGACAAAAGACAAGACGCTTCTGACTAGGGAAAAAAGTGATCTGATTATGACATCATAATCTAAAAAAGAAATAAACAAAAGCTTACGGTACCTGAGATTCCTAGTTGGTCTCCCATACAAGTACTAAGCAGGCCCAATTCGGCATGACTTCTGAGATCTGACGAGATCAGGCACTTTCAGACTGGTATGGCCGTAGGCGAAATTAGCAGAAAGTGATCTCGCTGATGTTTGTATAATATCAAACACTGGTTGCGACAAAAGACAAGATGCTTCTGACTAGGGAAAAAAGTGATCTGATTATGACATCATAATCTAAAAAAGAAATAAACAAAAGCTTACGGTACCTGAGGTTCCTAGTTGGTCTCCCATACAAGTACTAAGCAGGCCCAAGTCTGCATGACTTCTGAGATCTGACGAGATCAGGCACTTTCAGACTGGTATGGCCGTAGGCAAAAATACCAGAAAGTGATCTCGCTGATGTTTGTATAATATCAAACACTGGTTGCGACAAAAGACAAGACGCTTCTGACTAGGGAAAAAAGTGATCTGATTATGACATCCTAATCTAAAAAAGAAATAAACAAAAGCTTACGGTACCTGAGGTTCCTAGTTGGTCTCCCATACAAGTACTAAGCAGGCCCAAGTCTGCATGACTTCTGAGATCTGACGAGATCAGGCACTTTCAGACTGGTATGGCCGTAGGCGAAAGTTACAAAAAGTGATATCGCTGATGTTGGTATAATATCAAACACTGGTTGCGACAAAAGACAAGACGCTTCTGACTAGGGAAAAAGTGATCTGATTATGACATCATAATCTAAAAAAGAAATAAACAAAAGCTTACGGCACCTGAGGTTCCTAGTTGGTCTCCCATACAAGTACTAATCAAGCCCAAGTCTGCATAACTTCTGAGATCTGACGAGATCAGGCACTTTCAGACTAGTATGGCTGTAGGCGAAATTAGCATAAAGTGATCTCGCTGATGTTGGTATAATATCAAACACTGGTTGCGACAAAAGACAAGACGCTTCTGACTAGGGAAAAAAGTCATCTGATTATGACATCATAATCTAAAAAAGAAATAAACAAAAGCTTACGGCACCTGAGGTTCCTAGTTGGTCTCCCATACAAGTACTAAGCAGGCCTAAGTCTGCATGACTTCTGAGATCTGAGGAGATCAGGCACTTTCAAACTGGTATGGCCGTAAGCAAAATTTGCAAAAAGTGATATCGCTGATGTTGGTATAATATCAAACACTGGTTGCAACAAAAGACAAGACGCTTCTGACTAGGGAAAAAGTGATCTGATTATGACATCATAATCTAAAAAAGAAATAAACAAAAGCTTACGGCACCTGAGGTTCCTAGTTGGTCTCCCATACAAATACTAAGCAGGCCCAAGTCTGCATGACTTCTGAGATCAGGCACTTTCAGACTGGTATGGCCATAGGCGAAATTAGCAGAAATTGATCTCGCTGATGTTGGTATAATATCAACCACTGGTTGCGACAAAAGACAAGACGCTTCTGACTAGGAAAAAATGTGATCTGATTATGACATCATAATCTAAAAAAGAAATAAGCAAAACTTATGGGACCTGAGGTTCATACTTGGTCTCCCATACAAGTACTAATCAGGCCCAAGTCTGCATTACTTCAGCGATCTGACACTTTCAGACTGGTATGGCCATAGGCGAAATTAGTAGAAAGTGATCTCGCTGATGTTGGTATAATATCAACCACTGGTTGCGACAAAAGACAAGACGCTTCTGACTAGGGAAAAAAGTGTTCTGATTATGACATCATAATCTAAAAAAGAAATAAACAAAAGCTTACGGCACCTGAGGTTCCTAGTTGGTCTCCCATACAAGTACTAAGCAGGCCCAAGTCTGCATGACTTCTGAGCTCTGACGAGATCAGGCACTTTTAGACAGGTATGGCCGTAGACGAAATTAGCAGAAAGTGATCTCGCTTATGTTGGTATAATATCAAACACTGGATGCGACAAAAGACAAGACGCTTCTGACTAGGGAAAAAAGTGATCTGATTATGACATCATAATCTAAAAAAGAAATAAACAAAAGCTTACGGCACCTGAGGTTCCTAGTTGGTCTCCCATACAAGTGATGTAGAATTATTAAAATCTTTATTAGAACCTGTATTGAATTATTGTACTAACTCCATTTTGTTCACCTTACATGACAGAATTTCCTGACAGTATTCAATATAATGAATAAGAGATTGTATTTTCTCTCTCTAAGGACATAACTAGCCCCGGAGTTAGCGGATCTCCGTTGACTTGCAACATAGTATAATCCAAGGCCAGGAGAACAGTGACAAAATGAAATGTTCTATTCATAAAAGAACCTTGGAACAGACCACGAGACTGACATCACTAACTACGTAAAATGACGCCCAAGCCCCCCTTTCCACCGAGTAAGCCTCGTGCTAAAGAGCAATGGCGACGACATCCCATGATGGGAGGGTGCCTCACTAGTCACTCAAATCTCTGAGCCAATTAATAATATTAATGGGTGGACACTGACATAGCCACTTAACATTTAACCCAATTAATGATGTTTATTTGTTATTATCTGATATTCAATGATGATGTCATTTTGCATATAAAAAGGCCTGCGTGCCCACTTTTTAACTAGATGCTAATAAATTTCCTGAAGTGTTTTTAACCTGAACTGCATGTGTCAGTGTGAACTTACTTCTGCGTATACGCAATTTATTCATCTCAGATTTGGACAGGAACAGATAGACTTTTAAACATTTTTGTTTATTTCTAAATTAATCTACATCAATCTGGCGTCCATCCAACGTGGGGCATCGGGCTATGGCCTCCGGCCGGTAAGCCGTCCTAAGGAAGACGCTGTTGGACGGAGGAATCGGGGGGAAGGAAGAGAGACTGATCACCTCTGAGTACACGGTAGAGACTTCTGCAGGAGCCACCGGTATGTTCCAGCCCCTTTGATTGACCCGTCCACGTGTCTGTGACTGCTTCCCGGGAGGGCATCAAAGACAGGTAATATCTTGCCCGGTGTCTTGTTACCCATTTGTTTACCTGCATTTAGTCTATCTGTTGCCTGGGTGTGCTAGTGGTATATGTTTTGTTCTTTCCCTCTTTTGGGATAAAGGGGGGTGGACCCGTGGGTGGTTGCCTGGGGGTCTTCTGTTGCCTGTTTTTACCCCTTTTTAGGAGTCACTTGGCCCAGACTGTTGGGAAAAAAGGGGGGGTGGACCTGTGGGGATTTTCCAAAGGGGTCCTGTTTTCCTGTTTACTTCTTTTAGGTACTGTCTAGCTAACAGTAGTAAGGAAAAAGAAGGGTTGGGGGATTCTGTGGAGGGGACTTGCCTCCTGGGGTTTCCCGGTTACGTCACTTTGATATTCTAGCTAGCCTCATTGTGTACGTTGCTCTGCTTGCAGAGGTTATGGTACCCTCCAGCTTCGAGCGCTGAGGCTGGTGGCATTCCAATTTATTTGTGGTGTGTGGATTCGGGCAGGCATTGTTGTCTCCATCACCACGGGGTAGTGTGACTTGTGGGTGGGTCCATAGGGAGCACTACGGGAGTGAGGATAGAGGTGGCCACACTTAGTGGACTGCTGTAACGAGGGAGGCATATGGATTTCGGGCCGGTGTTAGTCGTTATCCTTGGCCGCTGGTAGTGAAACTTACGAAAGTTGTTCTCCGAGCGGGGACACTACGAGATTGAGGGAGGTGGCCTTGGTGGCCACAAGAGTAAAGGAAAGGGATTACTGTTGATGCATGCACTGTATTTCAATTGAAATGTTGTATTAAATGTTGTCTTAAGTGTGGAGTCATTCAAACTCCTGGGTCTGTCTCTACTTTCACTGTTTACTTTTACTTTACTTCCTGTACTATTTACACTATCCACTCCTATTTCTCTTGAAAGAGAAGTGATTGGTCACACACTTCTCACCCCGCTCCAATCCGTGGTTACCATCGAGGGTACACGGATTCAGTGACTGGTCTACGTTTTGGGAAGACGCACTGGGAGGGACCCACCCTTCCTAGTGGCAGTCGAGCATTGTAGACGTTCTGTTTCATTTTCCTTTACCTATACTTGGGACGCTTTGTATAGGGGGATATGGGACAGGAAACGAGTAAGCCCGCTAGGGGCTGGCTCGCGTGTGATTTAGTTGAAGATAGAGAAGGTGAAGAACTGGTTAAAAATGTTGCAAAGATTGCTAAAGTGTGTAAAATTGCTGTGCCTTCATGTGGTAGATTACAACCAGAAAGTTGGCGTAGATTACTGACAGAGAAGAAAGGCAAGCTTACAGATAATGATTTATTGCGTACTGCTGAAGCATGGTACAGAGTAGAAAGGCTATCCAGCAGGAGGGTTGGGTAGAGGAAGAGATAAATCATAAAGGGTTAAGAACTGTATGTATTAGCCATTACCCTGGTAGAGGGTGGGGGTTTAAATGAAATGTTGTGTTTTTGTGTCTCTTTGCTTTGTAATGTAATTGTCCTTCTGTCTTGTTACTGTACAGCGTTGACATGGTTAAATTCGTGCTGGCAGGCGGTCTCTCTCTTGTTCCACTCAAATCCCCCTCTGCTAAAACACGCCCCCCCTCCCCTCGCTTCTGTGAGACGCGGGGGGGGGGGGAGGGGGCGGAGGGGGGTGGTGACGTGCTTGCGATTTAGGTCTGTCTCTTCGGTGTTCTGTAGAGTTATTCAGAAGCTACTGATAAGATTTTAGCAATGGAATTCTTGCTAGAAAATATTCTATTTGTGTATTTTGTTATCTCAATAGAAATTGATAGGATGGTTAGGGAGTGAATCTGATGCAGGAATAGAAGTTATTAAGTTAGTATATGTTTCTAGAGACAGCTTTGTGGGCTGTTAGATGTATAGTATTCACAACTGTTTTATTTAATCCGTCAAGTCTGTCCACAGTTCAGATTTTCATTTTGCCGAACAGAATGTTACTTCCCATGAAACCCACGCCTCCAGAGAGACTTAGTATGCCCTAAAGGAAAATGGCCCCTAGAACAAAAGAAGGCTGTCCTTAAGTGCCTTCACTCTGCCCTTAGTGAGGTCATATCTGCCCATATATCGTGTCAGTTCTGGCCATCCATGGCTGACGAGATCTACTCCTATCATGCTCATCCTATCCCACATATTATGAACAAGAAAGTTACAATTACTAAAATAATCCTGCTAATGTTTCCCTATATCAGAAAAGTGTCTGTGACAAGTGATGGTTAATATGTAGAAAGGATATATATATACCGATTCACGTGTTAAGTAACAATATGTATTAACTTTGTGTACAAAAAATTGATAACATGCTTAAAGAAATTTCTAATAAACAAAGATTTCTTGAACAAATGGTAATACAATTAAAGATTGGTCTCAAGATGTTTTGATCTAATTGAAAAGAACCAGAAAACATTATGAGCCTAACTACTAACAAATGGATAAGGATAAGAATCTGTCTTTATTGGATAATGTTAACCACCAAGATTAAAGACTGACTAACATATTTTTTTAATGTAAGCCCAGATATTTTATTATTATATATGCATAGAAGTCGAGACTTTGGGCATTATAGTGTATTGATTCTAGATCTGTTACTAGCAGCAAGTGCTTAGCCTTATGCCTATCCCACGCATGCTTAAACACTCCTTTACTGTGTTAACCTCTATCACTTCAGCTGGAAGGCTATTCCATGCATCCACTACCCTCTCAGTAATGTAATACTTCCTGATAGTATTTTTATTTAAACCTTTGTCCCTCTATTTTTGAGACTATGTCCTCTTGTTATGGTAGTTTTCCTTCTTTTAAATATAGACTCCACTTTAACTGTGTTGATTCCCTTTGTGTATTTAAATGCTTTTATCATATTTCCCCTGTCTCGTCTTTCCACTAGGCTATACATGATAAGATCCTTTAACCTTTCCTGGTAAGTTTTATCCTACAATCCATGAACCAGTTTAGCAGCCCTTCTTTGAACTTTCTCTAAGGTATCCATGTCCTTCTAAGGATATGGTCTCCAGTACTGTATACAGTACTCCAAGTGAGGTCTCACCAGTGTTCTGTACAATGGCATGAGCACTTCCCTCTTCCTACTGCTAATACCTCTCCCTATACAACCAAGCATTCTGCTAGCTTTTCCTGCTGCTCTATTACATTGTACATTGTCATTAACAGCCAGAAACTGGAAACCAGAAAGGATAAATTAATGTATAGCTAAATGTAAAGCTTAACAAAACCTCCATTATCTTTTTCATTTATCTCGCAGAAAAACAATGTTATTTGTCTATTTTGTAAGTTTTAATACATTATCAGTGAAGAGTAAAAAAAAGTTTTATCCCTTTTGCGAGACATAAAATTGCGATAATGTATATTTGTGATGTAAGTAAGAGTTATATTTTATGATAGGTTGAAAAAAAAAAAAAGAGAGTCAGGGATAGCGTCTGTCTCTACGAGCAAAAGTCTGGTGTGGGAGATGTAGTGGACTAGCCACTGCGGGATACCCACGGAGTGAAGCGTTCGAGGCCTGTACAGACAGATGTGCTTGTTAGCCTTTTATTATTTTTCTCTAGGGAAAGCATAGGGCCAGTTAACAGTTGTTGTACATGTGCTATTTGCAGCCTCCATTGCATTTCTACTTAATTCTGATTTCTGATGTATCCTCCACTGCTACATACCCACGCCTCC